GTGGAATGCTGCACTACATGAGGTTTCTTCAGCCTCTTCATCAAAAGTTCAGCTCTGTCCCATGATAGGTTAGGTTAAAGTCGCTTCAAATTTACAGAAAAAGTTGTTTAATGACGACTCTAATTTTTTACATGACTTCATTTAAAGAAAGTTGCTCTATGATTTCTGTCTCGTGTTTATATTTTAGTGTGAGCTGCTCAAGGGTGCTCCATTCATGTAACTCTATCCCTAAACCAACAAAGAATCAGGTAATCTGTAACTTCAATCAGTTGAACGAAGGATCCCATACACACCTTACTCTGAATCAAAGAGGGAATTTCGTACACTTCTATAATCTCAAACCATGTGGCATAGTTATCATTGTGAGAGAGTCTAGAGGTAATATTTGATTTTTAAATTGGGAATAAGACCAATTCAAGATGTGTTTTATAGAAGAAAAGCAACTGAAGTTAATGGGAACAACATATTGCATTGGTTTGTTTTATAGATTAATTTGTACAGATCTACAATAAAAAGAAAGCGAACATTTGAATGAAGAATTCTAATAGGTTCTTTGTGGCTTATTTGATCGGTTTAGGAGACATATACAAGTATGATATTCAGTTCATCTAAGAGTTCCATTGTGAAATTGCCAACGGCCTTTTATTGCTAAAGGCAATTTTCCAATCTACTTTCAGAAGTAAACAAGAAAGTCTTCACATTACTGCCGATAAGTCTGCCAGGACCTTTGTTTGTTTACTCTCTTAACTTGTCACAAACAATGCCTTAAACCACATCTTACGTGGATCAGGTCCACATTGGGCACTTCCATTTGCTTGATCTTGCCTTATTTGGATGACTGTCTCGAGCCTTTGCAGATGCTTATCGTCTCTGACGGGTGTGGCTGTTTGGACGCTAAACCATTGGTGAAGCACGTGGTAACGGCAAGCCTCAGATTGTACCCTGTACTTTAGAGAGTCACTCGTATACGGCCAAATTGGGAAATAGATACCCAAGTGTTTTGCTAGGTTTGTTACCATTGGTGACTCTGTTTACCTTCAATCTGTTTACCTTTGAAAACGAAGCTTGGAAGACTCTATTTATAAAACGCACACTTCATTATATCACATGTATGATTCCATGCTTTTTTAAAACTCCCGTATTTTCCCCCAACCCTACCTATTTAACTTATCTCTTCTCAAAGCAGGCTTCGTCTTGAATTTCACCACCATTGCTGTTTCTCGAGTCTGGCTGTTTCAAACCTGTTAGTCAATGCCACTCTTTGGTTAACTTACCAGAAGATGAACTTAACAATTGTAGGACCCTTACACATTGTTGGTGAAGTGTCCTACAATTCTCCTTCTCTAATGACCTGACCCAAACTAACAAAACACTCACTGGTGAATCCAAATGCAAACTTCGACTAGTTGAGAATGTATTGCTTGGCGTTGCAATTGTTGACAATTCCTGTAAGTTTTGAATCAAATATTGAAATTAAACAATGTATGGAACTGCAGAGCAACACTAATCACTGTTAGTTGTTTTATGTCCAGTTGGGTCTATAATAACATTAAAAAAAATAATAAATTCACTCTGTTTACAGTCAAAATCGTAGTAAATCCTCCTTCTGAAGATAGTCTTGGCAGCCGGGCTGCAGCAGAAATCCTCCTCGATTTCTAATGGGTTTCTTATTGGTGCTTTGGCAAATCGAGCCGTATGACCTTGGTGTAACGTGTGGCAGTGCTCTTCATACCTTGATAATTTTGAATTTGGAACCGATTATCCGTAAACTGATCTGTGTTGACAAAACCTTGCCATTAGCCTTGAGATATTCTTTACTTTTAATCAGTACAGACTCTTCTTACAATACAGATGCATTTCACATTCGTATGCATTGGGATTGTATTTCATATCAAAATAATCTGCGGCTGTGACTGCGAATGTGAATATGGGTGAGCACGTAAGGAGGGTTTCTCTCTCTATACTACGTTGGTGCAGAATCTTTAAGCACATCACAAGTGCCAAATATGCTGGTATCTTGCCATTGGCAACGAGACCACTTTGAAGAACTGGGAGAGGGGAAATGGAAGAGGCATTGCATCATTCGCTGTAGAGTAAACCAGGCACCAAAACATTCCCTGTTAACACTGACTGAGGCTGAGGTACGATGACTGGAAATGCATACGCTCTGGTGCCAGGGCTCCATTTACTCAGCTGTGTTGCTATTCTAAACGGTTGCTTGAATGAGCCAAAAAAGACCCAAAGATGTGATGTATTAACTTGTCACATCAGGGATTCCTCAGCTAACAGCTGCCACTTTGAACAACATAAATAGCATCAGCCGGATTGGTAACGGGTCCAACGTGATGGCAACTGTTGAAAAGTAAACAAGGGGTCACACCTCAGAAAAGGTGGGTTATTAGAGATCATTAGGTTCCGAGTAATGACACCCAGATTTCCAAAGCTCAGATCAACAGCAGACTGCGCCCTATAAATACACCTGTATCCTTGATGGCTATCTCACCTCACCATGTTGGCTCGTTGCAGTTTGAAAGTGTCTTGGGATCGTTAACATCTACGTGAACAGGAAGGTGGAGCTTTGGTTTAATGTAAAGCATCTGAAAGACAGCACATCCATCAATGCAGAGCTAGAGTCATTTTATAGCATTAGATCACAGTCTAGGCTACCGCTCCAATCCAGGATTGGGCGAGTGCAGCATTGTTTGGAGATGTTGTTATTCGGATGAGATGTTAACTGCTGTTCAGGTACGCATTCAACATCTCATGATAAATAGAGAAGGAACTTTCTCCTGGCCAAAAGAATCTAGATTCCTTCACTTTGTGGCTATTGTGAACTGCTGCTGGCGCAAATGGTTTTTGCGTTTGCCTACAGAAACGGGCACCACATTTAACATTACCTACGAAGCAAAACATATGAACTATAAAAATGCAAGTGTTTTTTCCTTATCCATTTAAAAAAAATCAAAATTGAATGGTTTAGCAAGAAACGCTGCAGTGTTGACATGCATACTAATTACAAAATAATTTAACCGATACTCTGTTTTGTAATTCATCACTATTATTAGTTCTATATCAATGCCGAAATAACTGGAAAATCAGCATTGTGATGGATTACAAGCTCATTCTATTTAGGTCATAGGCCAAACAACAGAACAACATGTCATTGTGTTAATTGCCATCTGTATAATGTCCATTTGACGTCCGTATTAATTCCTTTCCCATACATTACACTGCAGTGCAAACTGGAATTTGACTTCAATTAAACTCAAAGAATGTACTTTATTTTCTGTCAGCCGGGTGTCTGACAGATGCGGAAACACATCATCATGCTTAAGAGTATCCAAACTAGACAGAATTCCATATATGTCGGCCTCCTACACGTGGAAATTTCCTATGTGAGTGGAATGGAATGTGGACTCTCTCCCTCCTTGCCCAATTCCTGAGAGTATTAAGTGCATGTTGGTGAGGCTTGAGGACCTCTAGTGTCTGATGCACTACTACTGGAGTTTCACTAGCTAAAATCCCATAGTTTGCCATTGTCATTCATGACGCACTTCTAATTTCCCCTGTTCCATGCCTCAAGACAACAATAGGAAATAGTCCTGCAAATATACCGAGGACTGAGAAGTTTGCTTTGCAACACACAAAGGTTATTCCTAGAATTTTTTCAGGATTTCAACACTGAGAAAATCATATATAAAGTGCATCAGCAGAAGGTATGGGTGAGAATACAGGGCGAGCGAGATTGGTTAGGATGGGTCAAGAATGTGGAGGAATTTGAAAAATGGAACAAGGATCTGAGGATCTGGGAGCCAACAAAGCTTGGCTTGGTTTAGCAATTTGGAAATGCAGAGTCTTGTGCTGGAGAGAACTCAGACTCCAGAGTTTTGAGTCGATTAGAATTTCTGGAGAGTGGATCTAGGAAGACTGGCAGGGAAAGCTTTAGAAAAGAAAAAACTATCTCAGAATCGACTTTGGTGCAAAAATAAGAGTGTCAGCAGTACTGAGACAAATGGCATAAGTAAGCAATGTTCCAGAGATGGAAGAGGGCTATTTTGGCGATGAACCAGATGGGTTTGAAATTCACCTCAGGGTTAAGCATTTCACCAAGGTTATGCATTACTTGGTTCAGCTTGAATGAGTCACCAGAGAAGTTGACACAATCAACTTGTGGACCTAGGCAAACCTTTTCAAAATCTCTACAATGATTGTTACACCACAATAAAATGCAGTCAAATTGCCATTTAAATTATATTCTTAAACACCCCTTACACATATTTGATTTTGAATAATGGTTAACGTTCTCAAGGGCCATTTTTGTCAAAAGTCATCCACTACATGTCAAAGGCCTTCATTAAATATATTCCATTAGTAATATGATGTGCAACTAAATAAATATCCTCCATCCTTAGCTAATCAGGACTGAACTGGAAGATAAACAAAGGAATAAAAATATCTTGTCCCAGGTCAACGAAATAGTACTGTGAATGATCTCTGAACACTAAAATCTGCAGAAGAGATTATGAAGCTATAAATAAATTAGAAAATCCAGTTCTATAGCAGAAATAAATCATATTCCAGGAAAAACTCAACTATAGTAGAACAATAGTTGACACCCAATATCCAACTTCAAAGACTTAATTTCAAAACACAAAATTCTTTGATGTACTAAATTGCCAATGAAGTTAAAAATAAAAAAATGGCAGATGTACATAATAGATCGATCAGCAAATGCAAGAGAAAGATCGGATAACGTTTCACCCCTTCATCACAAAATGTATCTCTTTATCCTTGAGAGTTGGAAATAAGTTTTGGCTAAGATTTTTTTCTCTGAGACGAGGAAAAAGATGGGAGTGGCGGCGGTTCAAGGAAAGAATTACCTAACCTTCAAGTGCCTCTTACCTAAGAAGCAAATTGCGAAAGCAAATCATTTGGGTGGACAGTAAGAAATGAAGACCGTAAATCAGAATTCCAATATTGTGTGCAGTTTCGAGACTTACCTTGATCACCTCTGGGATCTGTTGAACTGATAAGTGCGAGCCTGTGTCTTTAGCCACAACTGTCTGGGTTGGCTCTGCTGTTTTGCAAGACTCTGTAGTCTGTTTTAATGTGTCTTGGAGTATCCACATTACCTCTTTTTCTCTTGCTAAAATGTCCTTATTACTCCCACGTTCGACGAGCTCCTGAGCAAAACCCTCAATGCTCTCTAGGATGCGTAATAGGAGGGCTCCATCGTCCTCGTCACCTTTACTTACATTAGGCGATAACGCTACACTTTCTCTCAGTGTTGCATCTAAGTGATTACTTCCTGAGTCAGGAGCCAAAAGATGATGTTCCGTTTGTGGACTGCAGTTTTTCAAATCAACGTCATTGCCTCTGGAAGAATTGTACTTCTGTCCATCTTCTATAGTCTGAGAAAAAGACTCTAATTCCATTAGTAGTTTTTCAATATCTTCTTGTTGGATATCTTTGTCATTTTTTGGAGTAACCTTTGAGGGATCTGTAAAGTTGTACACCCTTTTTAAATTAGCGGAAACGTTTGGAGAGTCAGACATTGTCTCAACATGGGTTCTTTTTTGTCCCAAGTTATTGGTGATTGGAACCCCAATTTCTCCTGTTCCCTTACAAACCTCAGAAGAAGTTTGCTTGTCAAGGTTGAGCTGTGACAGCCCAAAGTGTCCTTTCCCTTTTGAATCCTGGCCCAAAAGTTTGTCAATGTCACAATCCTCCTGAATATAAAGAGGCTCCATGGGAACTTTTGATATAATGTCACTCCTCTTGGACAGGAGCTTGTCTTCAGAGGAACAGCTATCAGTGTAATTTGATGATATTAAGTGAGGTAGTGCACTGGGATGATTTACAGCAATCGTATTTTTTTGTTGGATACCATTGTTTTGAAGACTACCATTACATGGAAGACCAGGAGCACTGTCAAGAGGCCTTGTACTCTTGCCGCTAGTATCTTTATGGATCTTTTGTATTTCCATCGGAGGAAGAGGTAGGTTAATAGATGTTGATGACTGGACCACATCTTCATATCGAGGAGGCTGATCATTCCCAAATGGGGTATATGGCATTTGCTGCAGGTTATGCAGACTGTTCACCAGTTCAGTCAGATCATGCTGGTTTGAGTGCCCAGATAACCCATGTTCAAGTTCAAAAGGCAGCTTCTTCAGGTAGCTGGAAAGCCTGGCCATTACATTCTTGTAGATTATATCAGGATTGTTGCTGGCATCTCTGTCAACATTACCAAGGGCCTTGCTCTTAATACACTGCTTAATAATCTCTGTGCATTTCTTGAGGTCCTCTGAGCACTTCAGTAGAATGTCCAAGCAAACCCTTATGTCCTCTCCTGAGCCCGAACTAACGGCTTTATTTTTTTCTAGAATTTTGGCAATTAAATTCTCTTCTAAGAAGTTTTGGAGGTACAGAGGTGCAGCATTGCTGATGTTGTGTTCGTGCAATATGCTTAGATTCGTCCCCTTCTCCTCAACAGCTGATTTCTGTGCAAAACCAAAAGGAGGACAATTCTCGTCACTGCCGATATGGTTGTTAATTATATCAAAGTCTGCAGATTTTCTGCTGGCCACATCTGGTTTTACTTTTCTTCCTTTCCTGAAGCTCACGTGGCTTGAGGGACACTTCATCTTTTCGAATGAAAACTCTTTAGTTTTGCCACTTGCCAAATTTATGGCATCCCCAGTGATGTCTTTCAGATTGGACAAACCTGGTGTGACTTGTCCCTTTTTGACCCTAGTACTGCCAGGCAGAAACTGCTGACAATCCTCAGAGGCGATGTCAGAGGAAGCGGCTATACTTTCAGTAGTTGACAACTTGTGGTTCAGGTCGGGAGTACCCGAGAGTCTTAGACTGCAAGTAGGAAAAGCTGGAGGGCTGAGCAACTCTGAACATACACCATGATGGGCTACACTGCAGTCAATACCAGTAGCATTCTTCAAAGCCTGGCAAGATCCATTACAGTAGTGTACAGTGTGCTGAAAACGCTGATCAATTGTAACACTGTTATAGCAGTTTACAGTGCTAATGACCAGTCTGTATGCTGCCGCCATAGCACAGATTCGCAGGGAGTTTGCCCCGACTGTTTGTCACAAAGGTAATTAATCGTCTCTGGTTAGAAACAGTACTCTACCATTAAACTGACTGCTTTGGGGTTCCAGCTGTCACATATACCCAATATAAACCTGAATATCCTCAAGTCTTTCTCAGAAGAAATCGGGTCGTAAATCCAGTTTTGGGTTCAGAAGGCTTGGCTCCAAAGCCTACAAATGGGATGCATGGTCAAGTTAAAACCACTATTAATATGTCAGTATGACTTGCACTAGTCAAATAATCACATGTCATTTATCAGTGTTCTATTTCTCACTCAGGAGATTGTAGTAAAGTTCAGTACAGTCACGGTGTCGGTATCCATTCCCAATATCTGGATATATGACCTAGATGTAGGCCTGTCACAGCATCGAAATGGCATTACAATCCACAAGGAGACATTGAGACATTCAAGTGTGAAGTAATTTTGCCAGTGGTAGGAATCGCCTGCCGAGATCCTAATGCATGCAGCAGATGTGCTTCACAATATAAGAAATTTGTTAGCTGCCCCCTTCGGTGTCAGCAGCCTTCATCTTGTTTTGGCAAATGGATTACTGAAAAAAGAGAAGTAAGATCGACGTTACACACGGAAAAATGATTTAGTATTTCATTATTAATAATATTGCCAGTCAACCAGATTTTTAACGCCATCTTATTACAGTATGTATTAAAACTCTTGAACAAAGGATCATGTCGTATAACTGCATGTATTAAACCAATTTAAAGTAGAGGTAATGCCTATGATTAAGTTTAACAGGTTTATTACACACAAGTTGCAAAGACCAAATAGAATACAGGAGACGATGGCCCTATAGAACCTGAGGTCTCCAGTGTAACAGGCAATAAATCTGTCTATTCACCTAATTAAAGTATCCCCTCTTTTCTCATTTGTGGAGGACTCTATGGCAAGTGTGACTCGAGTAATAAATCAAATCACTGAAGTGTAAATTATACTGGGAAAGGGAAGATTAAAATTGGTAAAAGGTGCTAAACCAATAGAAAATAAAATGCTATAAAGAAATGCATGCAGTTTAACCCTTTGAGCTCAGGCACCTTTGCTTCTTTCGAAATATTTTGTGGTCAGGAATTAGATCAATCTGAACCACCGTCAGCATAAAATAAACCATACCTGTATAAAAGTTATACACTGACATGAGTAGATGTTATTTAAAAAAATACCTTGGAATGATTTTAACTCAGCTATTAACCTTAAACCTATGTTTTGGTGCATCCTAAAGTATTGTTCTGGGTTTGCTTTATTTATCCCATTTAAAATGTTATATCTCCACAGCTCCCCACTGAGTTGTCTTCTCTCAAAACTGAAGAGCCCCGAGTGGTGATATTTAATTTGGCCAATTAATTTGGAGGAATGTCAGTTTAATATCTTATCTGAAAGATGCCATATAAGTACATCTCTTGGAATGTGACATGAGGATTGGGGACGAGGGGGGAATGAAATATGCGTTCCTCTTTCAGTCAAGTGACTGTGACGATGCACATTTGTAAATGGGTGGAAAAAAGATCGAACAAAATTCTGCATAGCTCCCCTGATGGCCAAATGGATGCACAGACCGCACTAATCAAAACAGACCCAAAAGTCACAGGTTCAAACCCTAAGTTGTTCTGAGTTAGCTGATCTCAGCTGGGGCAACAGTAACAGTTCTAATAACAGTAAGCTGTTAGCACCAAGTTGCAGCCCTTCCTCTAGGGAAGTATTAATTATGGCTTCCTTTCCCTCAATGCCTGGTTGGTGTCCTGACCAGCAGAGAATAAAAGGGGTTCACCCGCCAAGGCTAGTAAATTTATCGACGATCAGAGAATTACTCCATGAAACTCATAAAAAATGTGCGAGCAAGAAGCTGGTATGTTTCTGAAATACGCTTTGGACTGTTATTTAATTGAAGGAGGAAAGCAAGGACTCTGCAGCTATTACATCCTGTTCCTGTATATCACACAATTTCCTGGTGATTATTCACTGTTTTCCTGTACACATACCATTGATCAAATATTTTAATTGTTTCCATATTGCGTATGGATATGGAGGAAAACACACACAAATATGGTTACAGAGGAAAGCAGAACAAAATTTCAAATCGTAGCGAAAGTGATACGGATCTGGAAACATTTAGAAAAGTGGCGCATTGATTGGCAAATCTGCAGCACAGTCCACTTAATCAGTCTCTCAGCAACAATCTTAAGAAAACCAACATGAAACATTTGTACAAAATCATATTTAATCCTAAAGTGGTCCGATATCATTTAATTCCTGCTGGTCTTGCATCGGCTCTTATTGATGCAGATAACTGGGAACATTGTCTGTTTGGGCCCAGTTTTCTGTTCAAGTGTTTCTCGATTTGGAAATTGATGTAGAACAGGAGTGAAAAGGAAATGGCTTAACACTCTGAAGTCAGATACAAGGGCTGGACTATGCTTGGACGCTTCCTTATCTATGTTTGACAGAATGGAAAGTGAATAGAAAAGTAGTGTTGCAACTCAGTCCTGAGAAACAATGGCCTTAAGAAGACAATCTTTAAAACCGTTCCAAAAGTTGTGACTGAGTGGATCAAAATATTCCCCCTTTTTAAAAATATTTTGACAACTAAAAATGTATCTCAAAACAATTACAAGCACAACTGATCTATGCTCATTCTTTGGATGAGATGCTAAACTGAATATATACAAAGCATTTGCAGGAGAACTAGGCTATGACAGACATCTTAAGGAGGGGTCTGCGTTAGTTCCTTAACTGTCTGACATAAAGCGCAACATTTCACGTTTATTATCCTCTAACATCCTTAATAGCAACAATCTGTTTTGTTAATATGATTGAACTTGCAATATTTTCCTCAGGAGGTTTATTTGTTTTTGTCAAGTTCGTTTGGTGCTTCAAGAGGTACTGCAAATGTGTATTTCACTGAGCTGGCCACATAAAGAAATGCTTGAATAAAACAAATACGCGGTTATTTAAAATTCCACACTGTCACACAACAAAACGGTGGCTATCTGGACATTTACTTCCACGTTTGTGGGAGCTTAGTTAATAATAATTCTTGTTTTTGATATAGTGCCTTTCATGTTGGGAGAGCTTCCCGGGATTTTTTGTACATTTTGTAGGTGAACACAGCAGCACTCTACAAACAGCAACATGCCATAAACAGCCAAGAAGGGGAATGCTCATGGAAGTGCTGAGTAACTTACGGTCAATGACATTGCTTCTTGGATGAAGCCCATTACATTTGGTGTAATTCCTTTTGCCTGATGTAGTAATACACAAATGTATGATAGCTCCACCTCAACACCAAGAATCTCTCATGTGGCATTCTCAGAATCCACAAGCTTTACTATACTGGGCGATTGACCCCCTTCCCCCGCACCACCCAAACACTGCTAAAAGTGCCATTTTTCATCGAGTTGGACAACAAATTTGAATATTTTCAGAGCTTTTGACAACGGACCACAAAAGACATTTTGGAGTCGGATTATATATTTTCAAAGGAGTTTTGAGTTTCCAGTATTTCCTTGAACAAAAACAAACGTGGTTAGTCTCTGCTTGTACTTAGTTTTATTATCCTAAGTAGACTGGGCGGTGCTATACTGTGGACTGGAACTTTATCCGTTTACCTGTGGGTTTGAATCCCATCCAGACAGATGGGATGAAATTCTCTGCTCCCTGATGGCTGTGAAAATAGAACTAAATTCAAGTGTCGAGCTTTCTTGCTTCACAGTGTGAATCAAGTACTCTCTTCCACGCCTGCTATTGTTTCTTATCTCTTTACTTGGATTATTTTGCACTCCCTTGTTTTACGACATCTTTAATTTTGCTAAGACATACAAGGTAAATGTCACCGTGGACTCTTATGGGAGGAAAATTTCACCTGGATCTAGATTCACTCTGTTTACGTACCATTTCAGTGTGTCCAGAAGTTTACACATTCTGAATTACAGCCTTAATCTTTTTTTTGACTGTTTTTCTGTTAAGAACTTGCATATATAGTTGTGCTTTGACCCACATGGGATTTTGCCTCATTAGTTCTCGATGATACTGTTATCACAAGTGCTGTTAATATACATAGAAAATATACCCTCTTTGATGATAATATTATTGGCTATCTTTCCGGACAAAAAATAGATACCATGTTAACATGTTGTAACTAGCAGAATGGCATCACAATTCTGGATCCTATTCTCTGCTCTTTCTCTCATCCAATTCTGGAACTATTTCCATGGCAGAAACGCAACTGAATTTTCACTTGTGGTGAAAAAAGGTTATTCCTTTCTCACCGGCCACATTATTGGGAAACTGTAATCTTCAAATTGTATTTAAGTCAGACTGTAGCACATCTTGGATGTTATTTTGCCTTTTGGGTTTAGGAGGACAAAAGAGAGGTAAATTCTGCAAAGTTTCTCTCTGCCCTAAAAATTAATAATGCAAAGATCAAACCTTACAACCTCTTATTATCAATGTTTTCCAAGGCACAACATTTATATGGTTCTTAGTAGCTTCAGAACTATTGTGTTTCGTGAAGTCTTTGTGTGTATGTGTGTGTGTGTGTGTAGTTGATCATCTCTATTCATATTTATGGGTACACTTCTCAAATTCATTTCAAACCAGACCTTTTGTCCGTCTCTCTAAAGCAACACAACCTTGACATTAGTTAATTCCCTCAGCATGGGATATGTTTGTACACGATTCTTTTGTACTATAACATCTAGTAAATCAACATGAAAGAGTTTCCTTCCTTGCCAGATTGCAGGGTTTGATGATCTCACAGTCACAGAAAATGCATTGATTGCTCTGTGTGGATTTACGTGAAGTTCGGTGGGAACTTGTTCTAAATGTATTCTCCAAATTTCACTGTGGCAGGATCTTGCCATGGCATTTTCAGAGCGCTGAATCAGTCTGCAAGACATTATTTCCAGTTTGCTATTCTTTAACTGCTTACAGTAATAAAGATGTAGGCAGTCGTTTCCGACATGATACCACTGGAACTGAGTTTTGGACTCGCAGAAGCAGAACAAAGAAAGCCTGATGCCTCTAATGAGCAAGATATGGTCGAGCATTTAGAATTAAATAGCTGCAGAAGATCAGATTGAGATTGTCGGAGAAGGAGCAAACCACTAACAACTTCAATTATTGAGAATAAAAGAGCAATTAATCTTGAGAAATCCCACAACTTGCAGAACAACTTTTAAAAAAGGATGAAATAAATTGATAATTTAATAGGTTGTATCGACGAGCCTATAATGGAACACACTCTGGGAAAACATATTGTAATGTTTGCACAGACTGTTTCGAATTTATTCTTAGCAGGACATTGAAATCACCAGACCAACTATGACAGTGGACTCTTAAGAGACGTATGAAAACTTCCGGCCCATTTTGAACTCTCAGATCAAAGCAACGCGTGTCATGACAGTTCAGAAACACAGCATTGGTTGTTAATATACTGTACATCCATTCAGTGATCCACTTACAGCACACATTAGTCCTCTTTGTCCTCAGTATTGCTACATTATTGATAACATCATTCTAAATGCTGACCATTTCCGCCAG